ATATTTCCAGTAACCATGTGGACGTTAACAAACAGCAGCAAACTACTACACCTCAACTCAAAAAAGTTGAGAGTGGTTACATGAATCCTTACAGTCCATTTAGCCCTGTTTCAGTCAGTACTCTACAGTTTCTCTTTTAATTATCAAACACTAGAGATTTTTTTACATGCTTTACTAGAATATAAAGCTCTAAACAGCCAATTTCACGTTAAAACGGGTAAAACAAGGGATTTTCGACCTTAAAGCAAAACTAAGTGGGAAAAAAATATTAAAAGCGTATTATGTACTAACTAACTACGTATTTACATGGCGTAAAAGAGAAAGTATAGAACCTTTTTCGCTGAGAAGGAGGAGGGCGGGGGCTAGGGCTGCGAGAACTGCCACTGGAGGAGGAGGAAGAAAACGATCTGGAGCGGGATCTAGATCGAGAACTCGAGGAACGAGAAGAGTAAGAGCGAGAGCGAGAACGAGACCGCGACGGAGAACGAGAAGACGAGCCTGACGGTGAAGCCGCACGGCCTCGGCCTGGTTTCGCCATTGGTACAGCTACAGCTTACTGATATTCCTTCAAACCCTTGGGATAAACCCTAACGACAGAGAGACGATAGGATGTTCATTTGGGCAAGAAATGGTTATCGGGTTATGGCCAGTATATATAAAACGGGCCCTTCCAAAATTAAAATGGGCCAACAGAGTGGGCTATTGGGTAAAGTGGCCCAAAGCGCATTTAACTGGAAGTAGTGCGACACTGAAAAACTAGAATGAGGCAATTTCACTTCTGGCCGCTCGGCTGAAATTTTTGACAATCTCTAAGCCACATATCTATTATGTAATTTGAAGCCAAAAACTAATTATAATAGCTAGCCGGTAAAATAAAAATACCACTAGTCGCATTCCAAACCCATGTGAAGTATTTCAAGTCCAAAGCAATGTAAAGTATAAAACTATTTCAGTCAAATAAGTTTTCAATTACACAAACAGAACAATTCAATCAAAAAATCTAAAAACAGGTGAATTTAAAAAAATAAAATATTTTTCAAAAGAGAAAAACTTACAAACTCAACTCAGGAAGAAAAAATATACACAGATAACAAGACTATATGTGTATGAGAGAGAGAGAAAGAGAGAAGAGATGTGCATTTCGCAATGTATACAAGATATACTTTAGATACATAAACACACTCGGATACACTCAATATACACAAATGACACACTACCAAACTTCGTATACATTGCATATATAGTTTTTAACATTGTATAATAATGTCTTTACAACTTCTATATAAAATTAATATGCAAGTACCATGTATATACAACTTTATATTAGTGTAGATACAATTTTTATACAAAACTACAACTTTTATAAAACTTTTAAGAATTAACTAAAATAACAACAACAACAACCCAGTATAATCTCACTAGTGGGATTTGGGGAGGATAGTGTGTACACAGACCTTATCCCTACCCTGGGGTAGAGAGGCTGTTTCCAAATGACCCTCAGCTTTCTTCCCTCCAAGAACTCCCCACCTTGCTCTTAAGGTGACTCGAACTCACAACCTTTTGGTTGGAAGTGGAGGGTGCTTACCATCGGAGCAACCCACCTTGTCAAGAGAGAAAGAGAGAAGAAGAAATAGTAAAGTAGGAAGGAGAAGAAGAAAAAAATAAAAGGAAATAAGTTCTAAAAGGGAAAAAGAAAAAAACACTGAGAGTATTTGTGAGAAAAAGATTATACACTTTATATATATAATATATATTAATTATTCTCTTTATATACATATTATAAATTATATACGAACTGTATATGTATATTATACTATTTTGTATACATTTATATACAAAATTATATGAACATTGAACGTGTATAAATAGCATATATGCATTCTATCAGTATAAATACATCGTTCATACAAATGTGCTTACATAATTATACACATTATATATAATATTGTCAATATTCACCGTAGTCACTGTAATCTTTCACATCCAATTTTGTATAATATGGGTATAGTAAATGTATAATAAATGTATAATAAATGTATCATCATTGTATAATGTATACACGGTGATTATACACATATTACATAATTATTATACAAGAATTATACGATATATAAATAAAGGAGAATTGACAGTAATGGAGGACAACCAACTTTGCAGAATTTTTTTTCCTCTGGCAGTGGCTATTTTATTTCCTTCATCTCTCATTCTCATTAAATTCATCAAAAAAAATGTCACGCAATACCATATCTGAAAGTGGAAAGAAAGCAAAGAAGGAGGCAACCACCGTCCGAATTTTGTCGGAAATTACACAACGAAGATAGTATTTTTTTTTCATCTAGGTTTAGGAGGAGAAAATTGTAAAAAAAAAAAAAAAAAAAAAAAAAAAAAAGAGAGATAAAATATTAAAAAAATGGTGTGTTGGTGTCGTATAGTGGAAGAGAAGAAAAACAGAAGAAGAAGATAGGAGTGAAAAAAAAGAGAGAAGATAAGAAGAGAGGGAAAAGAAGGTTGAAGAAGGGAGAAGATGAGGAGGAGAGAGAGAGAGAGGAGAAGTAGGCAGGAGGAAAGAAATAACGGAATTTTAGGGTTTGGACTATAAGTTGATATTAAATTTGTAATAAAGGCGGGGTAACTTGGGTAAAGTAGGAACATTATTTGGTCCGAGTGGCCATAGAGTGATGATTTCTCAACTAAAGTCACTAGGCAAACCCGACTCATAAATGCGACTTATAAAATACAATGGGCAAATGTGATTTATAAAATACAATTGATAAATATGACTTATAAAATGCTATTGACGCACTTACACAAGTTACAAATTTATGCTCTCTCAAAACGCTTGCACATCTGTGAGTGTTTTCCGGTCCTACAAATTGAGCTTCCGAAAAGGATGCTTAGTGGAGTAGCTTAATGAGATGTTGGTTCAATTCCCACTATGCCTTGTCTTAGTAGGTGTCTCCGACATTGGACTAGCTAAACTTGCTATGATCTAGTGCTTGTCCGCTCCTATTCGGGCTCATTCACAAGAAAGCGAACTCTCTCCTCTACTTTAGCTTGAGCCCATTCGGACAAACTCTGGCATGACACCTGTCACCATACATAGGTAATAGCATGTCTCAATGCGATCTTCCTCGAAGTTGCAGCTTAATATGATCTTGTTTTTTAGGAAGGATCCACTAAATGGACCAATATAAATATAATTAACGGGACTTTTAAAATGCAACATTGCGACTTATAAGCGCTATTGACAATTGCGACTTATAAAACGCAATTGCGGTTGCAACTTATAAAAAGCAATCAGAAATTGCTACTTATAAAATGCATTTGTGCATCATGGCTTATAAACGCAATTGGTGATTGCTGACTTTTGGCAACTTATAAAATACAATTCGTGATTGTGACTTATAAAACGCAATTATCAATGCGATAAATACATTGCAATACAAATGCAGTTTATAAATTGCAATTACCAATATATGTCGTAACTGACAAATGCCTTTTGGCAACAACTTACGGCATGTATTATTGAGGACTTCCGTCTATTTTTTATGTTATGATTTATATTTAATTCACATTCCACAAATGTATTTTGTATATTTTTGGTATTCCTTTAAAACTACACACTACTGGAATTCTTACCCAAAAGGTACACATTTTGGAAAAAAAAATTCTGAGTACTATTTCTAAGAGCTTGCATCCAACTGTGTGATACTATTCGTATAACATACTACAATTAAAGATTAGTTTGAGCTTGTTTTAGTTTATATGATGTTAGAGCACAAACGGAAAAAATACCTCGTCTTGTGGATGCAGGAAACCGGTAACAGATTTATTTAACATGAAACATGAATGAATATTAGGTCTCAAAATTGATTTCTACCATTACTTTTGCTGTTTTTTTACAAATCAGAATTATGCTATGACAAAAATCATATCACAGAAAATGTTTGCCGGACATCTTTTTAAATAATTTTTGGTGTTTGATTAGTAAGTGAAAAATATTTTTCAAAAAATTTACAATTAATAATAATAATAATAATAACAACAAAATTGAAGAATGATTTGACGAAAAATTTGAATCCTAAATATTGATAATAATGTCTTAAGCGTTAGAACAAGTAGTATGAAGTTAGTATTAGAAGTTTAAAAATTAAGATAACAACAACAACAACCCAGTGAAATCGCATAAGTGAATTTGGAGAGGGTAATGTGTACGCAAAACTTACTGTTTCCGAAAGACTCTCGGCTCGAGAGGAAGAATAGAAACAAGTAAATATCAACAACAAGCCAGGAAAATAAAACCATCAATGCATGAACCGGAAAAACAGATGGAAGAAAGCAATAGCAATAGCAATAGCCAAGCAGTAACAACGACAAGGTACTAGAAAACCGAGGCGGAAGATAGTAATAAAAACTACCCTAATACTAGCATTCTAAGAAATAACAACAAGGTACTTACAGACTAGCCCTAATAAACCCGAAACAGTTAAGAAAAACACACTACGACCTATTACCCTTCTACCCTAATCTTCGACTTCTATACCCTTCTATCAAGGGTCATGTCCTCAGTAAGCTGAAGTCGCGTCATGTCCTGCCTTATCACCTCTCCCCAATACTTCTTAGGCCGCCCTCTACCGCTTCTCCTACCTGCCAGCGCCAACCGTTCACACTTCGTCACTGGAGCATCTAGGCTTCTCCGTCTCACATGCCGAACCATCTTAAAAATTAAGATAGTTGTAAGGAAAATGGTTTTCCCCTTATTCTAATGAGCAAACACCAGAAAATTATTTTTTTTAAAAAAAAAATCTAAAAAATGGCTTTATCGTGCCAAACGCACCATATGCGATCTGAATTATAAGGAAGCATCATTCCTTTGAGGCAGACATTTCACAACAAATTTTGGTTCACCTAAAAAGAGGCACAGTAGTCATCACACCCTATTGCCCTGCTCCCACGTAAAAGAAAAGATGACGTTATAAAGAAAATGAAAACACCTTTACTCACCAAAAGAGCTAAAGCAGCTCAAAAGAGCACTAAACCAGAATGATTTTTCCACTATACATACATTGTCCGAGTTCCTTAGTTTGAACTATGGTATCTAGAATCAAAGCAGGGGCAGCAACAAAAGGAATGCACAAGGGGTCGTTTGGCACAATAGTGGGATATCCCATGAGATTAGTTGTCCCACCTTTTATATGGGATAATAAATCCCACCATTCTAGTGTAAAAGTTGTCCCCGGATTAGCTAATACCTGAAACCAAACATGGGATAAAGTTAATCCCGATATCTATCCTGGAATTATTAGCCTTATCCCATATACCAAATGACCCCTAAATGATTAGGTTTTTGTCCGCATCAAAATCAAAACTCCCTTAGAAAGATGTTCCTTACCCTTGCTGAACAAAAATGAATAAGAACCAACACAGAGTGTACTTCCATTTATGATATCGGCAAAAGCTGTGCGTAAAAGCAGAGGCAGCAAAAGATGGCATTGCAAAAGGATGACTTGCACGAATGTAGGCTTCTGCCCACATTGAACGAAAACTCCTTTGAGGATAAAAGCTGTACAAAGGTTACCACTGGACAAGCTTTTCCTATATAAAGCTGTACAAAGGTTAACTCGTCTATGTATATTTCTTGTAGAAAAGATCCAATTGCTACACAAACATACAGTTGCTGCAAAGCGATCACACACAGCATAATGATATTGATTGATTGAGTTGGAAGGACTTTCGCAGACTGTATCAAACCATTTGCTTGCAACCCCTTGAGTGGACAGATAATTAAGTATGTCCCTAGATCCTTCAAGCTATTACTGAACACCATAAACGCAACCACTCTGGTCAAAGCCTGAAAGTATGCCCTCTATGTCCAAGAAGTCGTATTATCTAAAATCTGACTAGAAACATCATGTCAATGAGAGCAAGTGTCCATTTCTTTGAGAAAACTGAACTGAGGCAGCACGGACAATTTCAATGAGATGTTCATCCAATACATCAAGCTCGCCTGAGTTACGTAGATGATGATACATAGGGGCCAGATACTCTGCTGCAACTTCGACTAGCTTCCACTGATTGAGATTAGCAGCCATCTGTGTGATTTTAATAGACAAGTAATGATAGGAATCCAAAATGGATACAATCAGTCTAAAACATTCGTCATGCAAATCTTCTAAGAGCCAGAATTGAGCAAGCGAACATAGTTCTACATAGGGCTGGAGTTCGTGTAGCTTTTCCTCCTTATCCAGATTATCCCATAAACAGCCAGATATTGGTCTAGGCAACTCACCAGAATAGAACCAGCTGACTAGCTTAACCAAGGAGTCCCAACAAACTGGCACCTTGATGGTGAGCGAATGGCTGAAACAAAACCAGAAAATGTAGTATCAACTACACATTTGAGAGGTAAAGGAAGAAAGCTAACATAGCAACAAATAAGGAAATAAACTCCATAATGAAGTTATTTTTTCTTCTTCAAAAAACAAAAATATATTTCTAAATTTGAGAAAACAGAATCATCTGGCACATAATATAACTAGAAGCCACACTCAATTGCTGCACATAATAGAAACCAAAAACATACCAGGAGCCACACTAAATTGCTGGCACATAATAGAAAACAAAAACATACTTCTAAATTTCTAAGAGGTCAAATCCATATGGATCAAGCCATTTAAGTATCTGTACAGCAATAAATCCTATCAAATAAGCAATCCAACAAGTCCCAACTCTGGGGTAAACCAAGTTATTCAACTATGAATTCGTTTTGTGACAAAAGCAATCTATTTGGAATACCTTTCTTGCATTCCTGACTGAAAGAGGGCCCGTAAATATTCACAACTTGACCATAGTACAACTTTGTGAACATGCAGGTGTAAAACAGATATGGAGCAAGAATTGCAGTCCTCATTACTTGGTCGGGAAGTTTCAGCCTCCAAAATAATATCCCTGATTAGCAAGAGCAAAAGGGAAAAGAATGTCATATCTTACTCTTTTTTTTTTGGGACTGATGGGAAGGATAAATTACGATACAAAAGGAATATTGTTAAAAATCATCCCTCCTTGATGGTGTATCAACATGGCTAACACAGTATAAAAAGTCAGTGAACAATTCCAACAACTCATATTAGAAAAGTCTTTAGCCTTTATCTTTAAACATACTTAACGCATTAATGACAGATTCAAATGTTATCCATTCTCTGTAAAGTCTACAGGCTGTTAGCCAGTGAACAGCCATTTTGGTGAAAGAACAAGTGATGATATTAATTGCCTCCCTGTGGATTTACTAGACCTCATGCTAAATAAACTATTGTATCTGGATAAAGCAAAAATAGTTCTGTGCATCCACCACAACATAACAATGCCTGGAAATGAATTCTGAAAGAGAATTTAAACCAAAGGACACAAATAAAGTCTCTACGTCTAATACATTCTACAAATTCCCAAAATGAGTTGTGAAAAAGGATTCATACGAAAAATTACGTCCAGCTGGCCCAAGAGCAGAGTTAATGTCGGAACTTGGGAATGGAGTTCCCCATTTCGGACTTCTTCCATAAAGCAATTGTACTAGAGGTTGCAAATTGCAATGTCTGGCTAAAATTTTCAACTTTTTCACAAGGTCTTCTCCTGCTTCAAAGAATCCCGAATAAATATACTCTAATAACTTTGTCAATGACTGGCAATCAACATGAGCTGAGAGACGAACTTTGGTGATTAACCTATAGCATGAATCTGAATCCTGCTCTGAGGAAGAACCAAATTTTTTCTCTTTAAACAATTCTTCAAGAGGTAACAATGATGGGCATCTAACCAGAAGAATAACACCATGGACATGCACCGGTTCCTGATTTTTAATTATAAGCTCCACATCAGTATATTCATTGTCAGTAAGGAGCTCCCGAAACTCTCTCCCAAACTTACTTGGAAAACCGTATAATCCAAAATGGCGAAGGATATAAGCAGCATACCATCGTGGTCCAGGATTAGAATTGTTAATACAGATCTCTTGAAGTTCTCTGATAAAAGCAGCTCGCGACTCCATCTGATTACAAAAGAGACCACCGCAATTTTTCGCATTTATCAACTCACCAAGAGCCATAAGTCCAAAAAGTAAAAGCATATCTTCACCTTCCCAATCTTCAGAAGAAGGCCAGCAACAAGTCCTTTCACTGAAATAGTTCTGTACATGAGGAGCCACACTGGATCTATTTAGGTGGACAGGATTATCTAACCACCAACTAATGAAGCTCAACAGAGTGGGTATTCCTCCGTGCTGAATTACATGCTTACGAATTTTTGGCAGAGCTGAATAACATGCCAGAGTTATCAAGGTTATGACAAGTCTAAAATTACTCGGTATTCCAAACTTGTTTCCAGAAGATACTGCTTTCAAAATATCCAGTAAATATTCCACGTAGTCCTTCCCCTTCAGTGACAGAACTTCAGATAGGATGAATCTTGTTTCAGAAGCAATGTACTTGCTGGGAGAATAAATCATCATAAGGACTGCTCTAGATGCTGGCTCACTCTCCGATGAAAGACAAACACTCCCTTGAGAAATTTGGCGAGCTGTGAGGATAGAGTCCACGAAGGCCAAGCTTTCAAAGACCAAAACAAACAGAAGCACATGCACATTGATTAGGGAATTTGTTTCATGCCAATATGCTCATTAAGAATTTCTACACTTGTACTCACTATAAATAAATGAACTTTACATATATATATAAAGTTGAGAAAGTTGAAATTGTACCAAGATTTTGGTTTCGATTACCATGCACAAATAACAAGAGCATTAAACGAAGTCTCATTTCCATGCATCTTGGGGGAGAAATCTTCCATACAATTTGCTGCAAGCCATCCAAGAATATCCCAAACATATGGTCTCAGTGGAAGAAGAACATATTTATCAAAAACCTCTTCTAACTTGACGATTTGTTCTTGCAGAGATAAGCTATGCAGAGACTGCTGAGTCGTGTCAGAATTTCCTATGAGAAGACTAAGAAGAACCCCATCAACTCCTGCCTTCCAAAGATAAAACTGGTGGTCCCCTGCCCAACGAGTGATCAGAGCCAAACGGCATGCTTCGACTAGTATTGACATTTGGCACTTAGCAAGCTTTCCAGCATCAAAACTCCAGTTACTCATTAAGGTAATCACAGCTTTCACAAAAGGCTCACAAGATGATTTATTAATTTTCGAACATCCTTGTTCACTTTTCTGAGCAATTAATAAAATATATCAATGTAAGCGAGCGAAAAAAACTTGAGCTCCTAAGTAGGATAAAGGATAACAGTTCAGTTTCAATTGCTACCGTTAAACATTGAGCAAGTCTTAATCCCTCTATCTGGACAGAATAAGGGTTTGAACTGTCCAAACTGTCCACCATAATTTTTACAAGACCTTCTCCGTCCTCCAAAAGCTTCTTAGTTCCATTGCCACATAGAGCTGCCACCCAAAGTAAGAATGCAATATCATGAATCTAAGCCAAGAGAAAAGAAAGGTAAGAAATTTGCAGGATATACGAATACCTAAAGCAGAATATAGCTGCAGAACAGCAATTCTGATGGAGCAGTCAGGATTGAGCTTGACAGTATCTAAGATATTCAACAATTTCGTATCAGTCCAAACACGGAACCGAGGAGGAGGCCAACGCCACAAAATTTTACTTAACAAAGAGGCCATCTCTTGAAAGTACTCAGTTGGCTTATTGTCACTGGAGTATCCTTTAACATTCTGGACTAGATTACCGACCACGTTTGTGGTTCTTAAGATATCCGAAACCTCTTTCTCTCTTTTAGAACTCAGATTTGATAATATCAAATTCAAGGCAGAGGCGCAAGATATAGCAACTCGTAATTCCTGGAAACTTAACAAGGATGATAAAGGATGGATGAGATTGGCCAAATGAAGTTGCAGCATTGTACTTGGTATGACGCGGACGATCTTTACAGCTACATCTGAGGCCAATCTTAATGTGGCTGCACTTTTTGATGCTAGAATACTTCCTACAGCTGCAACTATGCCACCGACTGACTCCTGGCATGGAAGGAAAATACCAGAGGTCAAACAACAATACATGCGAAAAAGACAAGTTATTCAAACAGGTAGAGATCCCCGCAAGAGATCACACAACTAACAGGACATGGCACCAGTCAAGTCTATAATGCCTTCCCAAAATAAAACAGGGAATTTGAATTACTTATGATATATGCTTTTAAAAGAAAAGAGAAGAAAAAGAGCAAAACATAATGAGAAGCCAAGTATTGGTAGAGAGTTCTTTTTAGGACCAGTATCTACAAGTTAGACTATGCACACGTATGTTCTTTTTCTAGGATAAAAAATCAACCGACTATCTGGAATCTAACCCTTTGGTTGCAGTTTTCTATCCACATTCACAGTAGAGGTTCAACATCAAAGCTCGCTGTTACAAAGGCAACCTAAATTTCACCACTCTTTCTGTAAATAAAGGAAAATATTTAGGGGTAGCAAGGTGGTCTGGATCCCACGAATAGTAGGAGCTTAGTACACCGGGTTGCCCTTTAATGTGATTTTTATCACATGGATCGATTGTTCCAGTTAACTTTATTCAGAAAGGCTAAAGTTTTCCACAAGTACCATAACACATATTCTTGCATAACAAAAGCAAAAAAAAAAATTCTAAACAAAGAATGTATGAACATGATGCATCTCCAAGTTGTAGTTCGTTTCTGTCTCTTGCACTTCCGTAGTAACCTATAAGAGGCAATCCGACCAACAAAAATATGAGATTAAGTGTTCTCCAAATTTAAACAAGATTGGTAAGTGGAAGGCAAATTACCTTCACAACTTGGTGTTGTAATGACTCGGCAGATATATTATCAAGAAATGCATCAACTGAACGAAGTACTAGTCTTTGCATCTCATTATCAGAATAATGCAACTTTTGAACCCCATCATCGCAATATCTACAAGAAAAAAGCAACTTAGTAAAGAATAGGATGCGTCAAATTAAAATGATTGTCGCCCCAGTAGAAACATGCGCTTATTATGTCTTCAGTTTTCACTAACCATGGAAGCAAATGTTGTTTCAAGTAAGATCTTTGAGGAAAATTGGAAAGAGAGTTTAGAACCAATGCATATCAAGGAAAAATCAAGAAAATGCATATCAAGAAAACGATGCTCACTCTGATTATCAATCCTAAACAACCCTGTTATTCAAGTCCCTGTTTTGATGACAGTGAACTTTGCATCTTATATCGACATGAGACATATCATGAATAGTGGCTATCAAGTCAGCTCTGTCCTTTCTTCAGATAAATGAAGCACAGCTATCAGTTACAACCAAAAGCAAATGAACTTCTTTTGGGGAAACATATCAGACAATTCATATGGCCGAACTCAATTACATTGGATTGAGAAGTGGTGATTGACTGATAATATCAGAGGACAAAATAACTTCTAGAAAGAAAATGAAGAAATAATCTCTGGAATGACTAGTACACTTGCTACTGTATTTAGTTCACATAAAACAATCTACTTGCTTTTCTTTGAGGTTGGGAGTATGGAAGGTTTTTTAAACTGCAAAGTACAAACGCCTGTTTCATTATTTTCAGTTTAAAATTGTGACCTTTTTCTTTTTTCGAATCAAATTTCAGAGCAGGAGAAGTAAGATAAATGTCCATCTCAGCCACCTGACTATTAGTACCTAAGAAAAACACATATGCATAGCAAGGATGTTGCACTCCTAATCTTGGGCTCTTCTGTTGAAATATTACATGTGTTTCCCTGTATGAATTCACCTTTTGCAGTTCTCTTAAAGAGATTTCCCCATCCAAGGAACTAACTATTATGGTCTTTATATCAAATCTCGCAGATGCAAGACTTACTCGCCCATTCTTGGTGCACATAAGACAGCTTCTTTCCATAGCTATCTTGTATGTAATCAGATTCTCCAAATTACACCCATGCTTGGTACAAGGAGGTTTTATATTTCGAAATAAGACAATATTAATTAACTTATCTCTTGGTTTAAGCATTTCAAATGATTCCCCTTTTGCCATCGGCTATTTGGCAGACATAAGTTCCCTTGCTTTGCAGCATCAAAATCTGGTCAACTTATTGAAAACAAATCGTCTGCCTTTTTCTTCCCCTTCACACCACGATCATCTAGATCCAGTCAGTTATATTTCTAGAACAATGCAACTTAACTTGTTTTCAGCTACATACACTAATGGTAACCAAAAGATTCAGCTAGCTCCGCTGCAAAAAGTTTATAAAGGTAAATATGGAATGTCATGAAGCAGCAGGGACTCCAATATATATCCTCTTTTAATCTAATTGCAGCCCAACCAATCATAAGTGTCTTTGTTGAATCCAAAAGAGCCTCAAAACCAAGCATAAACAGATTCAATCCGAGATTACATACTTTTTTCTTTTCTTTTGATGATGGTGGTGGTCGATTCAGCTTGAGCACACCTCGATTATTTGACCGAGAACCTGCTACCTCCCACCAGCACGCTGAGACAGATGGGATCCGATACTACATACATAAGGAAACAATTATCACTTACCAATGACGAGAAATCTACATCCTATCTCATTACTTTTTCTTTTCTCGGTGTCCGGGCCAACTTCTGTGCACCTCTGCTATTTTTTATGACCGAGAAATATCTTGTTTCTAGCTTGGAAACTCAGCAGATAATGAGCCTATCTCTCTACTCTTCTCCATTTAAATACCAGAATTGGTCCATCAAAGCCATGGGAGCTCCAATACATTACTATTTGTAGGAGGAATAAATTTCATACGGCTTAAATAAACATTGGAGCCCAAAAGTTCAAAATTACAATGTTGTATGAGTCTCCAATCAATCCATCAATCAATTATGCCTCAATATCAAAACTAGTTTGGGTCCACTATACGAATCATCTAATCTATGCCTAATTTGCTCTATTCAGGTCCATAATTACATTCAAATACGCAATCAATTCCCGTATATTGTATGAGTAAGAAATTTTACCTAGTGCCAAGATTGAGAGCATGGTAAAGACGTTGATGAAGGGTCAATAGGTGACCGCTAATACCACGACTGTTATCTGCAGCTTGCTTTGACGATGATGACGACCTCATTCTGCAACTCAATGCACTGATAAAAATTTTCAATTGAGAAAAAACACCGGAATTGTATTGTTGTGTGCAGTATTTATAGTATCTTTTACCAGGGAGAAATACAAAGGGACGAACTATGCTTTCAGTACCGTAGTAATTTATTCATTACATTAAAGGAATATCTTAAATATACCATCCATTTTATTTTTTAAGGGTAAGTCATATCTCGTGTTAAAAAACTTAGAGATACAAGTTTGAGTTCTATTATGATAAATACAAGATAGTTTACTAATACTAGTAAATATATAAATTGCATCAAAATACAATAGTGGATAAATAAAATTAAAATATATGTATAATAACAGATATTTTTGATTTTTATACTAATTAAATTGTAAGCTTTCGACTACCCTTATCGTTACCAAACTTCAAAAAGTGATTTCATTTTAAAATTACTTTGAGTTTAAAATAAGTATTTTGGAAAGTAGTTAATTGTATTTGGCCAAATTATATGACAAACTAAACATAATTCAATGTTTAGCTAATCTTTTTTCAAAAAATGCTTTAGCAAAAACAATGTGTAAAAACTTCACTTCATATTATTATTACCTAAATAAAAAGCTATTTATCATAAGAAACTTTAATTGTGTAGCTTAGAGATGGGACAAGTAAAGGAAAATGAGAAGCAAATAGGTTAAGTTTTGGAAAAAAATTCCCTCAAAAGATGTACTTTTGACCAGGGGTATTCGTTGGTCGGTACGGTACGGTATTTAGATATTTCGATTCGGTATTTTTGGTATTCGATTTCTTAAAATGCTATACCAATACCGTACCTAATTAAATTCGGTATGGTTCGATTTTTCTCCTTTCGGTTTCGGTTTATTCGGTTCGGTAACTTCAGTTTATTCGGTTTGAATACTAACTAGTCCGTAGAGTCATAGAATGTAATATTCTTAATTAAAGTACTCAAAAGTACAAAACTAAAAATGTTTGTTGACATAAGTTTTGTCCAAAATGAGTAAATATCAACCTAGAGAGTAAAAATTATACATAACGGAATAAATTTGATCACTAAAAATGTCGTATCACTTGCTTAGAGTTAATTGATGAACTTAGAGAATAAAGGAAAGCAAAATTTTAGATTTCTTATATTTATATTATAATTAATAATATATGTATTGTGCAATATAATATATATTTCGGTATGGTATCGGTATTTTGATATTTTACTTTAAAATACCAAATATCATACTTAATACCAATTTTTTTTTAAATTAAATCAAATACCATACCGAATACCAAATACCATACCGAATACCAAATTTTTCGATTTCGGTACGGTAATTCGATATTTACTAAATTATGTACAACCCTACTTTTGGCCAATTAATACCTTTGCTATGTATTAATTTCCCCAAAATACGTACTTAAGTTGCGACTAACAGATGAAGGATAGCGCAAATAATAAATTTTAGAAAAGAATAACAAATGCATTTATAAGTCAGATTTGTCAATTACAATTTATAAGTCAAATTTGTCAATTTTTATAAATCGCAATTGAAAATGGGATTTATAAATTGCAGTTGACAAATGCTGACTTATAAACGCATTTGACAATGCAGCTTATAGTTACAATTGATAAATGCAACTTACAAATCGCAAGTGACGAATGCGACTTATAAAGGGATATCGCATCCATTAGTTTAGGAATGTCTTTTACATTATTATTGGTAACAACTCAAAGTACCAGAACGACCGTAATTGTGCAAGCGAGGCAACCATTAGTCGCCCTTAGTGCTCTAAAACAACCTTTGCTTGGGTGACCAACGACCCCTAGTGTACTAAAGCCTTATCTTCTTATTTATAAGCCATAGTTTACTTTGGCGTTTTCAATTTCCCACAGAGGAACTGCTTATTGCGTTTTTGGCCATTGCAGATGCGATTTATAATTGCAATTGACAAATACTACCTATAAATTCGCAATTGGTAAATGCGACTTATAAATCGTAATCAACTAATGTGACTTATAAATCGCAATACGCGAATGCGACTTAGAAATTGCAACGAATGCGACTTAAATCGCAATGCAAGAATACTACTTATAAATCGCAATGCATGAATGCCACATATAATGGATGAGACTTATAAATCTTCATGTGTGAATTCGACTTATAACTCAATGCATGAAGACGACTTATAAATCGCAATAGATAAATACAAACTTATAAATCACAATTGATAACGGGCTTATAAATCGTAATTAACGGACTTATAAAGCGCTATTGATGGATGAACTTATAAATCATAATGCATGACTTCGCACCGGATGAATGCAACTTATAAATCACAATAGATGAATGTTACTTATAGATCACAACAGACCCGATTAGGACTGGCTCTAGAAATACAGTTGGTAATATATTTACTGTTGTGAAGGTTTTGGAAGAAAAAGTTTTTGATCTAGAAGAGAAGTCCATTAATGACAATTCAGTGGCTAATAGAGTTGCTCTTAATCAGGGTAATGCAAAATTGCTTATGGCTTACAAAAAGGAGGAAGCTTTTTGGAGGTAGAAATCAGGAATAAAATAGTTTGTAGAAGAAGAAGTGAACTCCAAGTTCTTTCACTCTGTAGTCAAAGGGAAAAAGAGAAGACTAACTTTGACCAAGATGATGAGTGAGAGTGGGAGTTGGATTGAAGGAGAGGATAATATTGTTCAAGAAGCTATCAATTTTTTTGAAAAATAATTCACTAAGGATGATGCACAAAATGACCTTTCTATTTTCAACTGTATTCCAAGGATTGTAAATGAAGAAGATAACAACAGGCTATTAGCCCCACCGTCCATGGAGGAACTGAAAGAGATTATTTTCTCCATGAGCACTCACAGTGCTCCTGGACCAAATGGGTCTCTAGAAAATTTTACCACAAATGTTGAGAGGTCATAAAGTAGGATTTACTACTAATGATACCTGATTTTTTTTTGCAGGTACCCCATTACCAAGATATCTCACTCACACATGTCTTATTATGATTCCTAAAGTGGAATCTCCTCAATATTTCACGGAGTTAAGGCTGATCAACCTTAGCAATTTCTCAAACAAGATTAATTCAAAATTGATGAACCAGAGGCTTTGTTACACCCCGTAGTATTATGTTGATATTACACCCTGTAGTATTGTACGTTGAAATTGTCCTAAGATAATTGACCTCAGTTCAAGGACAAGATTATTTGGAGATTATAAGTATTATGCTTCTTCAAACAAGTGATAAGTAAATTCGTGAAGGTGAGAGAGTAAGCGAATCGAAAAAAGGGAGTTTTCGTCGAAGTTTGACAATTTGGGGATAAAATACGGTCCAAGCTATAATATCCCGTATTTATGGACTTGTGTCATACAAGGTACCACATGACCGTGATAGTGAGGTGTATAAGGTATGTTAAAAGTGATTAGTATTTTAAGTAATTTGAGATAATTCTTAATTATGTGGGTAATTGATTAATTATTGGATTAGTGGGGGATTAATAAGTTGATTAAGGAAAAAGATAAATTATTTTGGATAAACTTGATAGGCTCGTAACGTGGCAGCAAGTTTTGGCCAAATTAATGACTCTTAAGTCATGTAATTTAGTGGCACATTAGAGGACTTGTGGCCAAAGTGATCAAAGTGTGGGCCCCACACACACTAATACAAAAGATTTATTGAATTCACAAAATAAGATACTTACACCTCTAAAGTGACGGATGAACTTCAGCAAAGAAAAGTTATATAAGATTAGGATCAAATTCAAAAGTGATGGCAAATGGGGGTGGACCCCACTGTCCACTAACTAAAACTATTATATTTACTTTTTGATGGATAAACTTATGTCTTAAAAATCTATGTATATCATCAGCAACGCTTTAGCAAGTGTAGAGGAAATAAATATTTTGCCTCTTCTCAACATAGTTTAGAAAAAGGTCCCCTTGAGAAATATGAGCTACAACGTGTGGAGATAAAGATATGTCCTTGCATGGAAGAAAAATGCGAAGAACGACATAGAGATTATTCCTACGTCGGTTTCCTCCGCATGATTGCAAATCAGCTTCAAAGCAAAGTAAGTTATAAGAAGAGTGTAATATTTCTCAAAGACAGTATACATGTTTTGCACACCACCTCGATCTCGTTGTTCTGTTTTGACGCGTTGGTTAATCCGGACTTTCTTCTATGTGAAGTAAGGAGGAATAAAAGTATTTCTTGGAAAATAAGGTAAGAATTTTTCTCTCCTTGGTATATTTAAATTCTTCCAGGTCATGGCTAAATTGTAGGATGAGAATTATGAGATTAATAGCGGAAACTAGTATTTTGACGTTGCTATTGTTGTATCAGTTATTCGGTAATTTTCTAAGTTTTTTTTTGTGGCTGGAAATCATTGGAGTAACTTGGATATATAGTTGTAGTCATCATTGATATGTGTTTTGAAGGAAAGAAAATATTGAAGAAGTATGTTTGATAATCGTAGCCGAGCTTGCCGCTCGTTGTATCATAGTTTGGGTTATAAAACTTGTTGTGAGAGTTGCTAGTTGTGTTGTTGTATTACCTTGACCATGATAGGCTTGAGGGAATGCTAAGAACCGGGGAAATATTGCATGTTTCATTGTATGATTGGTTACCTTCTCTTATGGATTAAGAGAATTGTTCGTGTGATTGACAATAGTATTATTCGTGTTATTGATAATTATGTATTGTTGGATTGCTCTGGTTATTGTTGTTAGTATATGGTATAGGAGGAGGCTCTTGTTACGGGGTAGATGCTGCCCAAATTTATATAAACGAGCTACTAGTTTAAGTTACAGACTTAGCCTTTACTCAACACTAATTTTGAATCTCCTTATGCTATGGTAGATTGACTTGAGTTGTTTGAAGAATTGCTTGGAAGGTATTACAGACTCAACAGAGTTAAGGTATGTTAAGGCTAAACCTTTTCTTCATTTTGGCATGATCCCGTAACTATATATGTTTGACAACGAGACATAA